GAAGATCCATCGATTTGCATTTGCCATTTCCCGCCAAACCATTCGCAATCTTCTCAAAGAGTTCATCTATCTTCTTGGTGGCAGACTCTGCTTAAAAAAAATTAAACAGTAAATATAACTAGCCTTTATGATCAAGACAGGTGGTTTAGCCGGGCAGAGCGCTAAGTACGGGAGAGAAGTCTGGCGCCCAGAGCGGAAGAAAGTTGGGTACAGTTATAGTGCGATTACTCGAACCGGACCGCCTAGAATAAAACTAATCAATCAATGAACAATGGACTGGTGGGTTTCTCGTGTCGGCAAGTAATAAGGGTCTGTTCGACATGTATACGTAAATGCTATCGTAAATGCTATAATTATAAATTTCGCTCGTAAAATTTAACGTGAAAATTCATTTTGCGACAAATATAAAACCAAACCCGTTGAGAAGTGTACAAAGTTCAGGATCGAAACTAACCAATCAACAAATGGCAAAGTTCCCTGAGAGGTTCGCAACACTTCGCACTTTGTTGAAGGACCATTGTTCAGAATCTTCAATGTGATTGGTTTATTTGAGAAAAAGATCGCTACCCCTTGTTCGCAAGTAACGTTCTGATTGGTTAACTCTTTTCCAAGTGACCCGGTTCGAGTTGTCGCATTGTAAGCGGATCCTGCCCTAGTCCAGTCCCTGGCCCTTTCCCGCTCTATATGTTGAACCCCTTTATGGAGCTGGGAGGGCCGACCGCCCGCTGTTGTCTTCTGCGCTCGTTTAACACGCTCCACCGTCCACCCTGCGTCTCCGCTAAACCGCCTGTTCTCTGTCCTGACCTGTGCAGACTACGTAAATCACCTCGATATTGCGTGATGTAGCTTGTGTATGAAATTTCCTTGCTTTTATCTTATTTATTTCTGGTGAAAAATTAGACAAGGGGAGGAAAAACTGTCGTTCAAAAAAGACAAACAGCTAAGTCACGTGCCTCCTAGAAGAGAAAGCATTGGTAGTTGGTACCCCCGGATTCTCATCACTTTCGACTGAATTTTCTGAATGCGTAATGTCTAATACGTTGTTGATCGCAAGTTTTAAACCAAATCCGTGATAACGCCGAGATTTCTAGTTCTACTCAATCGTACAGTCTCAGCTTGTAGACACAGCGTTTATAACTCTTTTGTTCATGTCTTATGAATGAACCCTATATACTGATTTAATTACTTGCTGTTGTTGTTGTGTTTGCTTTGAATTGATTTGGCCAAAATCAACCCACGTGAGATACAATAGGAGTCGCGGCTTAAAATCATCTCTATGCTTTTATTTCATGCGAGAATTAATATCGATCGACCGGAGGTGCAAAGGTAAAATTTCGTACTGAAATTGACGAAGTTTACCAAAGCTCGGCGCATCATTCGCGCAAAAAACTTAAGCACAAAAAAATACAGCAGAAAATATTCGCTTACCTTCATCGTGGGACGCGCTGCTTCCCCAAACAAGACATTCAATGAGAAAGACTACCAACACAAACGACTTCACGGCCATGTTTTGGTGAAGGGTTCAAATAACTCGTCACGGGAGTCAAATTTCTTTTGGTTTCTTACACATTAACTTCCCGGCGGAAGAAGACGAAGAAGGGCCGGATGCTTGTCGGAAAATTTGAATAAGGCGCCTAAAGCTAAAGCACAGGTAGCCCAAGCTCGCAAAATCAGTGTCGAAATGCACAGAAGAACTCAGGTTTCGCCATAGACGGTCGAAGTATAAGGATTTGTAAAGGAAAAACGGCTCTATTCTTAAGACTACCTTGCTTCAGGTGTGTATTTCCCCCCCGGGGGGGT